GCTTTATCTGCCAGACGGCCAAGGACCACAAGAAACTCAGCAACCAGTTCAATCGGGAGATGGGTATCGCCGTCACGATTCGGACCTGCGGTAGCAAGTATTCGGACTTCCGACCTGCCATACCCAAGGAGCGACTGCGCGAGTTCGGGCTGGATGCGTACGCGATAGACTTCCTCGAGGGTCCCGAAGCCGTGTTGGCAACGCTATGCGCAGAGAGAAGGCTTCATATGGCAGGCGTGGCTCTACGGGACATCTCCAATGCCCAGTACGAGCAACTGATGGCGGTGGAGAAAATATCATCCTGGGCAACCGGCAAGAAGCTCTACCGGGTTGCGAGACGGAGAGAATACGGTCCCGGTGCCACGTCAACCTCTTCGAGACCCATCTGGCCTGGCCGTTTCTGGAAAGACCAGCCCGTCGACGAGGCCGAGCGGGCCGAGATCCGGAGGCAGATAGAGGACATCGAAGCAGAGAGGCTTGCTCTCAAACCACAAGGTCAGGAGCTCAAGGGAAAGAGAAGGGATCTGAAGGCGGAGATCGAGACGCTTGAGGAAGAGATAGTACGCGAAATGCTTCCGAATCTGCGGAGCACATGCTAACCAAACGCCCGCAGAAAACCTTGAGAGAACAGAAGAACGAGCTGCAAAAAGCTGCCACTCAATACGCTGCGCTGGGTGACAGGATAAGTAAGAAATACGTCTTCCTGACGGAATCGTCTTTCCCAGATGACAGACTAATCCGGACCAGTTACTACCAAGCAACAGTTAGAAAGCTTCGAGAGAGCGGCGGCTGAGCAGAAGAGAAGTATTGCCAAGCTCAAGGCTCGCTACGACAATATCATGCTCGAGAAGGCGCGGGCTGTGCTCCATCACAAAGAGCTTCTCCGGGACATTCGCGACGCCCACCAGGCGCTGCTAGAAGCCCACATTCGTCTCATCGAAGCCAAATCCGACGTCCTGATGCTGGAAGAGCGCAACAAGGACATCAAGCAACGCCTCGAGGACGTGAGGCGCCAAATACAGGAGGCAGACGAAGAGACCGAGCAACTCAGAGAGGAGGCGGCTGCGGTCAGAGACAAAATTTCGGACATAGTAGCGGCCGACAACGAGCTGTACCAGTATTTTAGCGAGCTCGCCCGAGACAAGACTGTGGCCATGATAGACGAGGAGATAGCCGCAGAAGAGAGCAAACTGGAATACGTCCATGCCGTTGATCCGATGGTGCTGCGGGAGTTTCGGAAGCGCGCCCAGGAGATCCAGAACCTGACGCAAAAGAAAGAAGAGCTCACAGCCAAGTTTGACTCGCTCAAAGGCAAGATGCAGGCCTTGAGAGAAAAATGGGAGCCACGCGTCGACGCGCTGGTCACCAAGATTAACGACGCCTTTGCTTACAACTTTGAGCAAATCAACTGCGCCGGCCAGGTAGACATCTACAAGGACGAGGAAGACTTTGAGCAATGGGCTATCCAGATCAAGGTCAAGTTCCGGTAAGTAGCCCCTGCGGAATCCAAATGTGGTGGCCACGGGGACACAAGAGATGTGGGCTAATCATCGTGTTTTTTTCTCTTTTTTCTTTTTTTGGTATAGGCAAAACGAGACGCTCCAGCAGCTGAACCAGCACCGCCAGTCGGGCGGCGAGCGCGCCGTGTCGACCATCTTCTACCTCATGGCCCTGCAGTCCATGGCGCAGGCGCCCTTCCGGGTCGTCGACGAGATCAACCAGGGCATGGACCCGCGCAACGAGCGCATGGTGCACGAGCGCATGGTCGAGATCGCCTGCCGCGAGCACACGTCGCAGTACTTCCTCATCACCCCGAAGCTGCTCACGGGCCTACGCTACGATCCCCGCATGCGCATCCTCTGCATCGCGTCGGGCGAGCGCATGCCGCCCGACGGCGGGAAGCTCGACTTCGCGAGGCTCGTCAAGATCCAGAGGGCCATCACTGCTGCTGCGTAAATTAATAGAGATAATTCAATCTTTGATGGTCCGGGTGCTTTCTTTTTGCGCAACTTGATTGGCATGTTTTTATGTTATGCTATATACTAACTACATACATACATACATACTTGCTTGCTTGCCTGCGCTGCTTACATGATACCCCCCACATCATCACAAGTGTTTATCTACACTAGTACATGACCCGCTCGGCTCGGGCCCGGAGGATGGGTTGGTAAGGAAAGGAGAACGAAACGGAGAGGGAGAAGGAGAAGGAAACTAGGTTAGGCGACGAAGACACCACGGTCTCTCACAGCCCACATGCCATCTCTTGCAATGACTAGATAAGTAGATGACTGACAGCATAAAACATAAATAAGTGAAGACGGGGCTATCATCGTCTTGCTGTGCAGTGTAATAAAGTAACTCCTAACTCGTGGTGATATTTGATTTATTTTGATTTTATTGATTACTGGTCTTCCAAGTAGGGGGCTGCTCCTATGAGCGTGTGTGATGCCTCTACCTGTCTTATATATATATATATATACTTGTTTTCCACTTTCCCATATATACATATTCTTTTCCTCTTTTAATGCCCTATACGTCTCATCTATGATTTTGTTTCCCGCCCGTTTTCAGGCATCCATAGATCGATCAGAGAGGCTTAACCTTAATAAGTTACATATTCCTCAAAACGTCAACCAACCCCCAGAACTTGTCCACGAGCGTGATCCCGTAGCCGATATCCACGACGCCCCTGACGAACCGCCATCCCCTGTCCTGGGACCCGACGGGGTACCTCACGGGCGGCGGTATGCTCGTGCGGACACCCAGCACGTCGCCGCCGAGCCTGTCCTCGCAGACGCTCTTGAGGTGGCAGAGGCCCCTGAGCCCTTCCTCGCCTGCGAAGCGGCCGTAGCCCGAGCCGGCGACGCCGCCGAAGGGGAGCTGCATGGCGTAGAAGACGGCGAAGTCGTTGACGGCGACGCCGCCGGCGCGCACGCCTCGGACGACGGCGCCGAGTTCCGGGTCCGACTCGGACCCGAACACGGAGGCGCCTAGGCCGAACTGGGGGGCGTTGGCGAGGGCCAGCACGTCGGATGCGCGCGACGAGGGCGCGCGCATCAGGGTCATGATGGGGCCGAAACACTCCTCGTTCGCGATGGCCATGTCGGGAGTCACGTCCGCGAGGAGGGTGGGGGTGAAGTAGAAGCCGGTCGGATGTTCGGGGTGCGTGTATCTCTTCCCGCCGGCCAAAAGCCTCGCTCCGTTCTTGACCGCGTCGGCGACGAGGTTCTCGAGGCGCGCGAACGAGGCGTCGGAGACCATGGCCCCGACGTCTTTGTCGGTGCCCATGCGCAGGGCCCGGACGCGCGGCGCCAGCATCTCGACGAGCCTGTCGTAGACCCTCGGCGCGGCGATGACCCGCTCGATACCGATGCAGTTCTGGCCCGAGGCTTGAAAAGTGCCTCTCAGGAGGGTGTCGGCTATGCGCGGGAGGTCCCGTGCCGCCGAGTCGAGGATCATGGCCGCGTCCTTGCCGCCCAGCTCAGCGACCACGGGGGTGAGGCTGCGCGCGGCGCTCGCGGCGACTTGGTGGCACACGGGCCGGCTGCCGATGAAGGTCAGGTGTGCGATTCCAGGATGGCTCGTCAGGTGCGCTGCGCTCTGCGGCCAGCAGACAACGGTCTGGATCAGGGACGGGTCGTGGCCGTGGGCGATCAACGCGCCCCGCGCAATGCTGGTATAGTACGCCGCGCTCCAGCACGTCTGCTCGCTGACCTTGACGATCATGCCGTTGCCTGCGAAGATGGAGCTGATGATGGGGCCCATCATGTTATGGAAGGGGTAGTTCCAGCTGACGAGGGCAGCCACGACGCCTAGGGGCTCGTAGTACACGGTTCCCTTCTTATACGAGAGCAGCAGGTTTGTCGGCCGCTTCGAGGGTCGTAGGGCCTTCTCGCCATGCTTGATAGTCCATTGCAATTTTTCGGCCGTCACCAGGACCTCGCCCAGCTGTGCGTCGACCATGGTCTTGCCCGAATCGAGGGAGCTGACTTTACAGATCTGCTCTTGGTTGTCGAGGACATGCCGGAGCATCGAGCGCAGTACCTTTCGCCTTTCGGAGAAGCTCGTCTTTGCCCATGTTTTCTGTGCAGCGGCAGCCTGTGCGATTGCTCGGTCGAGTCCGGCGGGGGTCGAGGGGTTCACTAGGCCCAGAAACTGGCCAGTGGCGGGTGCGTAGCATTGTATAGCCGTCGAGCCGTCGATCTTGATGCTCGGGCGTTCCAGGATCGTCGTCTCTTCGGGCAGTTTCGGCGGAGGGACATTGTATCGGATGGGCGTCTCGTCCAACCAGAAGAGCGCGAGAACAAGGATGACAGCACCCAGGACTACACCGGCAACAGGCCAAGGTATTGTCACTGTTGGAGGGCTGAGGGTACGAATGCTACCGCGGGAGAAGCCAGTCAGCGGGAAAAGAATTCCTTATGGTTATCGATGACAGGACGGGGCATTCAACGCGTACGGAAACTGTCGCAAATGCGTAGTTAACTGCCCAAGCCAAAGCTCGAGATCTGTTGCATTAGCCATGGCCGGATCTTATCCAGGACAGAACGCGACGACTACCGTTCCAGTTGCAGTCCAGCGTATCCTGTTAGCCCTGGCATTGCCCTCTTCGTCAAGAGCTAACCTAAAATACTGGAAAAGGTCTGGACACAACCCCAACGCGCCTTCCCAACTGTCTGCTTCGATATTTAACCATCACGAATACGACTCGGAGGGTCCCCTGCTACCCCTACAAATTCTACTAAACGTTCTTACTATTTCCTGATTGGGTAAGTACCTTGACATTAGGTCAACTTTTCTACAGTATGTTTTCCGGCGTAGAAACAAGGTATTTCCAGACAGTAGAATTCAACATAACCTTTATAGATGCAAGAAATGAAAGGAGGAAGAACAAGAGAATCAATACAGCGGTGGTGCTGTAGTGCCTCTAGTAACGACACTTTGTTAGACGAACAAGGCAAAAGAGGTAATATAACAAAAAAAGCCAGAAAAAGAAACTCCGAATCGGGGAATCGAACCCCGGGCTTGACGGAACCGTTGAAATGAGAGCGTCAAATGTTAGCCACTACACCAATTCGGATGATTTGATACTGATTGTCTGATTAGTGAACCAAATAGATCAGAGACCGGTAGGTTCAGCAGTCACTAGCAAAATCGACCCATCGGGGACCAATGAAACATGAAGAAGTGCATATGTTCAGTGCAATTCCACGTTATCCTCCTGCTCTGCGCGCGCAAGTATCAACTTTTTCACTTAGCACCGGCTTTATACTTTCAATAGACCTATATCTCCCTGGTCTAGAGGATATAGGCCCTCGGTCTTGATGGGTAAGATGATTTAACCTCACCTAACCTAGTCGCTGTTCAAGCAGCTGAAAACTACACAGAGGGAAAGTTAAAATAATACTACTTCGATTGAGATTTGTGCTTTCCTTCCAGCAGTTGACTCACGCCCAAATGATATCAAGTCTTATGGACTCAATCTTCTTCGTTTCAGATGTTGAGTCGGATAAGCGTTTTATGTACAAGTTAACAGAGATTTGATATTCCTCCTCTCTTTCACCTCTATACGTGACCTTTCAATGTCACCTCAACCACTCCTCATGCAAAAAAAATGACGTCGCTCCGGTGCTGCGAATGATAAAGGACTCAGAATCTTCTCCGCTGAACGCCGCTCAAATATCTACCGTGACCCCGCAAAGAAGAATAAAAACTTGGTGTCCGAGGGGACGCTGAAACTGGCAGGCGATGTGGCAATACCATCGTTCCCGTGCAGTGCGCAAATGGTTTAAAGAGAAAGGGTGAGTCTAGACTGCAAGACGAAATGAACGACGGACGTCAGAGTTTTAATAATGTTGGCTGCGCCACGACTATGCACTGAAAATATAAATACGACAGGGGGGAAATAATAAAGGGTGTTGACGGGAGAACCAAGAACGCCAAGTCCTGAAAAGCAGACAACAGACACTTTCAAAAGTGTAGACGCCATGGTTCAAGTGCGGCAAACCATTCATGTCTGTTAGGTATCGTAGATTGCTCGTTGCAGATCGTAGAGCCGAAGGATATCATTGAAATGGGAATAACGACTGAGAGCGCATATAATTCATGTCTGAGATTTTGGAAAAGACCAAGAGCACCGCTCTACTACTCGTGCTCTTGGATGTGGTGGTTGCTGTCCTTATAGAAGGCAAAGGGGCTTTTGAACGACTTGCCGCGCGTCCGTCTCCGAATCCGGCTCACTAGCCCGCTGCCCTCGGGCTCTGGTGGTGGCCCTGACCTTGTGGATTCGAAACGGCTCAACATGGCAGCCGTGGTGAAATCGTTCGAGGCTTCGAAGCTGGCCCTGACGCCCGCACGGTCCATCGACTGCCTCATCCGATCGTAAGACGGGCGCACGCGATCGATAGACGGCCGGACTGGGGCATCCGGAAAGTCCACTGGCTGCTTCACCGGCGTTTCCATGGACAGGTCATGTCGGGTATAATTCGTCCCGTCACTTCCCCTTTGGCTGCGCATGCCGTGCCCAGCCACGGAGGGTGCCGTGATAGACGGTGGGTAGATGGGCCGGAGATCTTCGTCCACACTCTCTTGGACCCGGTGGTTATTCTTGCGCCGGGAGGAACCCGAAGAAGCAGATAGACTTTCCTTCGCATCATCATGATCATCGTGGTCTCCTCCTGGAGCGGGGGTGCCGAATTTGCCCGAAGTAACCTGTTCCCGAATGATGTCGACATCGTACGGCCAGAACACCTTTTGGCAGGCTTTGCTCGCATATCGCGGCGCAATGCAGAAGAGGGGGGTGATAAACAGGACGATCCAGAAGGAGAGCTCGCCATAGATTTGTGCCGCCGTTCCGAAGAAGGTGCCCGCAAAGCCCGAGGAAGCGGCAGTGTAGATTCCCGTCCAGAAAAAGATGAGCAGGTCACTGATGCAGATAATCAACACTGTGAGCCAGTCCCATCTGTACGTGTTGATGAGAATATAGAGGTTGATCGTGATCACGGCCGGGTGCGCAATGTATGCGCCGAGTCTGTAACGCTCAACCACATCTTTACCATTGCCGGCAACTGTGGGAGTGTTGGCCACGACGAGGTAGGGTACGAAGAATGTGATGACACTTTGGTAAAGACCATCCGCCATGTATATCCTGGAGAGGAGATCAGTCAGTACAGTACAGAGCATATCAGAAGGCGCCTAGAAAGAGAGCATACCAGAACTTCCGTTGCGTCCACTCGAGACGCTCGATACCCCGGCGATACAGCTGTGGAACGGCCAGCGAAACGGTGTCGGAAACATCTTGATCGAGAACGCCAATGACGATGGGCGGCACAGATGTGAATATGAGGTTGAACAAGATGATGTACGTGTACTCGAAAAGGTAGGTGATGTCATAGTCACACCATATCTGGAACCAAAAAATGGTGAAGGTCCAGATCATATTCTTGTAGAAGAAGTTGGCAATCGACTCGGCCATTCTCCTGTAGGACCACCGGCCGTGCACCAGGATAAGCCGCTGTAGGAAGCGGAACTGCCCTATAGCATAGTCGGCCGACATGACAGCCTGGCGGCCTTCGACACCGGCAATGCCGACACCGACATCGGCTTCCTGAATCATGGCTACATCGTTGGCGCCGTCTCCGATGGAGAGCGTCATGACGTCCAGACCGGTCTTGACCATTCCCACGACAGCAGCCTTCTGAGCGGGACTAACACGGCAGCAGAGCACGGCGGCGCACTGCTTGCAAAGAAGCAAGAACTTCTGCTTCAAAGATTCGTGGAGAACCCACTTGAGGGTGAAACCATCCACCACCAGGCCATGTGTGGGCGACGGTGGCTCGTGGTTCTTGCGCGCCTGGGCAAGGTCGTGGTTGTCTCCGCTGAGCCCGAAGTGTTCAAGCTTCTCGCTGATCTCCTTGTCCAGCTGCCGGATAAACTCTTCCTCTCCCGCGCTACCCGACTCGTCCTCGACCACCTTGAGATTGATAAGCTCCATGTCGTTATTGAGTAGGTTGCAGGAAAACCCGATGTTGATGGCCGTTTCCACCTTGTCTCCGGTAAGCACCCAGAGCTTGATACCAGCCTTCCCAAGCAGTTCAATGGTGTCGGGTACGCCGTCCTGAAGACGATCTTCAATGGCAGTGCCTCCAAGGAGAGTGAGGTCTCGTTCGATCTTGTCCGCCACTTCCTCGAGCTTCTCTTCTCTGTCTTGAATGGCAGCAGCGGCCCTGTCGTGTTCTTTGCGCCATTCGAGATACTCTTGCTCCGAAAGTACCCGCTGGGCTATACAGAGTGTACGAAGACCTTCCTGGGCGAACATCTCCAGATGCTCCGCTGTGGTTTTCCGAAGCTCTGGCTGTTCTCCGCGCTTCAGGCGTGAGTAGATGATGCTATCCGCGCCCTTGCAGAACAGGATGATGCGCCCATCAGGCATCCGAATGATAGCACTCATTCGCTTGCGGCTCGAGTTGAACTCGATCGTGTTGAGGATGGTGTAATGGATCTCTTCACCCATCACATTCAGTCTTATCCCATCAGATGTAGAGCCGAGGACAGTGAAGCCCATATCGCGGGCCGTGGCGACAAGAGCGGCCTCGTCAGGTGACTGCGCTTTAAAGTCAATCTTCGGAGTCTCACCCGGTACGTGCTCGGCAATAACCGTATGGCAGAGCGCTAGAGCTAACATGAAATTAGCATTGGCCTCCCTCTGTTCATCCCCGGACTCTCCTCGAAGGTCGTCGACGAAGTCAGGCGCAACAAACGTGAGGTCCTCTTCATGCAGATATGGATTGTCGTGAATCGCCCGTAGTCCTTCAAGGGCACGGGTTTTGCATGCGGCGATCTGCTCCTTGGCTTCGGCCGCCTCCTTTACCACGTCGATGCCCAGGCGCTTGCGCATGCCGGCTTGCGCCTCCGTGTATGCCTCGCCGTACGGCTGTCCGTTAATCGTCGCCTTCTTGAACTCCATCACATTCTGGGTAAGAGTGCCAGTCTTGTCGGAGAAGATATACTCGATCTGGCCTAGGTCGTCAGAGATATTCCACGACTTGGGTATGCATGGTGCATCGATCGGCTCATAATACATCTCCACGTCGCTATAAATGAAGATGGCCTGAAGCGTGCGCACAATTTCTAGCGAAATGTACAGAGAGATGGGAATCAAGTTCTGGAAGACGATCAGGGCGGCGAAGAACGTGATGAAGCCCGTCATGGCGGGCGTTCCGCCGATGGCCCCGTAGTCGAACCAGGCGAGCGAGGTATCTGTTCTCGCCCAGGTTGCGCCATTTACAAGGGCGGATACTAGACAGATGACGAAAAGAATAACGAAATTTAAAAGCACGTTGATGTTGAGCTCGCGAGCGATGCGTGCTCGCTTGCTAGGCGTCGCACCTGCATTCATCATGATTTTGGTGTCGTGCCCAGTAAAGACGACGACACCGAGGACCCAGTCAGTGTTTCTCAGGTTGCAGCCTCGGAGTAACAGATTGTCGATGGTGATGCCCTCAGACATCTCTTTCCTGCCTACTCCGGGGAAGTTCTGTTCCCAGGTAATAGCAGCGTTGTACTTGTAAAGATTGGCCTGTGGGGGTTCGCTCTGGATCGAAAACTGAGCTCGCTCGCAATCCCTAGCATGTTTCAGGGACCTTCCGCACCGGAGGGCCTGTCGAACCTTGAGGTTGGTCTCGCCGTCCAGATTCTTCGTCTCCACGTAACAAGCCCCGTCATCGTCAGACGTGGCGAGTACGATTACATCGGCTGGCAACTCGTCGTTGTTGTATAGACGGACAAAGTCGCCCACCTGCAAATTCTTCCACGCATCTTTGTGAAACCTCGCTTGGCCAGTTACTGCAAGGTCGTGGTTGATCAGGTCGCCCTTTTCACGCGCAAGAGCATCGAATTCCATAGGGTTCTGCGTGCCGCCCGCCGTAGGTGGTAAAGGCGACGTGACCGGCGTCATCTGAATATCTTCAAAGCCGTAAACCGCGGATTTGCGATTGCCCTTAGTCTCTATCGACATGCGCGGATCGGCCGCATCCGACGCTGTCCCATTTGAATCCGAACCCTTCTTCCATGTGCTATGAA